GAATACCCATCATCGGTCATTTTTCAGTGTCTTGATGAAACTCTTTAGTGGTAAACAATAGATTTGAGAAGACAAAAAAAGAAAACAAAGCTATTTATAAAGAAGACAGGTGTGTTGTAACCAGATTTTGATATCTCGATGTTGTCAACTATCCATAGACACAACACTTGCTAAATTTGTGTCCACACAAAGTATAAGCAAATAATAAGAGAAGAGTTTGGAAAGGTAAATTGAGAACAACGTGTCAACAGAATATCACCAAGAAAGATAACAATTCAATGTTCCTCTGTGTATACGAAAGAGAGTGAGAAATACGATACAAATAATGATGGTGCACGGGATTTATCCCACCAGTATTCTCTTGTGTCATCCAATGTCGTTTAAGGGAAAAACAACATATAACCTTTCTATTTTTAAAATCCACTTCACTTGTAAACTAGCGATTTGGGTTGGGTTCCACTTGTTTACGGACAACAGTCTGTCACAACATACTCGATCAAAATTAGTCCAAAACACAAGTGTAAATCTTTCTTCCTTGACGTATCTTCATGACAAAAAAGGAAAAGCGGGTATTTGTTTAGGTGCACTAAGATAAAAAAGAAGGTTGTTAAACGAGAAGCTTATAAAAGATGGATGGTGAGCATGCTGGATCTTCTTGACTAAACAGGACAATAACAGGCATATTTCAGATGCAATAAAATCTATACCAACATACCATCACGCCAGAACAATGATTTACATATCCTTCGGAGAAAAGAACATCATTTGTTACTGTTTTTAGTAAGTTATATTAGACGCTCTATAACTGCAACAACTTTGATTACACATTGCAGAACAAAAATATGTAATTCTAAATCGATTTATCAACAATAGATCAGTTGCGCTTTATACTACAATTGTAAAGATTTTACATAACAGTATTCAGTAGTCTAAATAAAATCCAGTTATATTGACAGATATTCTCCTCAGCCTACTACACTCTAAAAAAGCAGACTACTGAAAGTGTGTTTTTCATTTGTCCGAAACAGGGATCTGATGCGAGTTTTCTGAAAATTTGCAAAACTGATTTTTTTCATTTTTCGGAAGAACAAAAATTGAGTTTTTCATTTTTTTAGATCTCTATTTGGGACATTTGTTTTCCAGAAAACCTCAGGTTGAAAAGCACATTTCTGTTCTTCAACTTTTTCGAAAATCTGAATTCCTCTTTCCACCAGCCAACGTTTTTAATCAATACGATATCCGTGATCATATGTATAATTATTCTTTTATTCAGTATAAATATTATCAACTTGAAACCTGCACAAATAGAGAAAGCTATGTAAGCCACATCCTAACTGGACCGTTGGGTTCGAGTCGAATTTTAGAAGTCTATTGTCAAGAACAAACATGTTCTCGATGTGTACACATTGTTGTACACGAATAGAACTTTTTGGACATGAGTTTACGCTTCTGTAAGAAAAGATCATGCCCTTTATATATATTAGGAATCGCAAAACAAAAGCGGTGATTGAAATATGTGATTTTCTTTTCCTTTTTTCAACTTCGAGATCTTCAGAGAACTCAAAAGAAACATTGTGTTTTCCAAATCTTGAAAAACAAAATTTCTGAAAAACTAAAATGAGTCGAAAAACTGAAATGAGTGAAAAACTCATTTTTTATTGCAAAATAGAAATTAAGTTTTTTATATTCCAAAGAACATAAATGAGATCTTCAACTCGTTCTCTGAAAACACGTTTTTTTTAGAGTGTAATTAACTCATCGCAAAAACATTAGCCCAACTATCAAATAACAAGTAGTAAATATAGAAAAGAAATCGAGTTCTGCTGGTATAGGTTGAGAACGGTAGTATTATGGTTATCGTAGATCAAGAAACAAACTTCCATGTCTCCTTATAAGTATGAATGGTAGTTCAATTGTTCTGGATCTATTGCTTTCATTCATGACTTGCCGCTGCCGTGTGGAAAACAAACGGGAGTGACTACCTGATCATCGGATTTACTCCTCTTTTGGTCATTTGTCGGGATGTTGGAAATACGCACTACGAGCAATTGTTAGATGATAACCTAGTATCATCATGACTTATCTAGGTAGATGTCAGTTTGATTTATAATGTCTTTGTTGAACCTGACTTAGAAAAGCTATGCATAGAAAACATGAATCTATGTGAGTCAAAATGAATACAAGAGATTGAAATGGTCATGCTTAAATGTCGGTCTTGAGAGACATTGTTCAGAAATTCAACATAAACTTGTTCATCTCAGTTTTTGCCGTCATGTATGCTTACATAATGTTGATATAGCGGATTTAATTGCATTCAAGACGAAGATACGGTATCATTTTGTTTCCGTCTGTAGTTGGAATTGAAAATATCAGATCATCTACTTGCATGCCGTACAAGGTAGTGTCGTTGATAATGAAATGGGTACGGTACATAAGGAACGAAAATAGTGTAATTATGCTTTATATCATTTTTCGGAGAGTGATTTTGACTTATTAGCATAAAGTAAGGAGAACTTTATTCATATTAGAAGAAATTAAATAAAAAACAACTACAATAAAACATTGAGTATGAATAACAAAAATTTCCAACGTTACACAATAGATTACCAATACTCGCTTGTCGTCATATTCCAGAAAAATCGCAATTAATCTCCGATTTTAAGACGAAATCGCGATTAATTAGCAAAAGTTAAGCGACTTTAATAACATGGGCATTCATCAGTGACATGATCTATCTAATGATTTATTAAATTTTCAATAGTTATGTCAGTAGGAATTATCAAAGAGAAATACAATAAATCAAAGTAAAAGGAAAGTAGCAACATACTAATTCTATTTTCAAATAAAATTGTACCAGTTTGCTAACATGCTCAAGATGATGAATTTGTAAACTTGTATCTTTTTTTGAATATTCGCTAGACCTCGCTATCTATACTCAGCTCAACGAGCTCTATCGACTGGCTAACTCAGATTTTAATTTGGAGATGTTCGAGGGTGTTCACGTCTTTTAGTAATACCTCGTCTGAAGTGTTATTTTTATTTGAGTTAGCATTTCGTTCAACAAATTATCGAGTCGTATCAAGACAGTGATTAGTTTCTGCATAATAATATTGATAAAGAATCTGTAAACAGACGAAAATAAAGAATCAGCATAAAAGAGTTTTGGATCTGCAGATAGAAATCATTCATAGTTCTTCATCTTTAGCTAGAATTGATACTCAGCTTATTTGATATCAAATGCGTACAATGAACCTGTCCAATAGACAGTTCAAATCTTTAGAAGAATGACATTTTTAGTGACTTAGTGAACTAATTATATACCTGAAACTCTAGGAAATGTACTTGATTACTTGCCGATTACTTGGTAAGTTTCCTCACTTAGTAAGTACGTGAATAAAAACTTGGAGTGTCTTTACTTCCCTAATTCTTGTCTACGTACTTATCAAGTATCGTCACTAGATTCGCCAAGTACATGCACGAGTCAATCATTCTTTTATTTTGCATTGACTAGTCGTAGATAAACGTCACAACATCAATCAGTATAAATTTAGATATTTCTACTGCGTTGAACAAATTTGGTAGCCATGTATACTTGTGCTTTACAAAAGTAGAGTGTAGCTGCAGAATACGTACAAAATACAGATAAATGGAATAAGTACCAGCTTCATTACACAAGCGAAGTACTTGGGTACAAGTACATTCGCTAGAGAATAGTTCAAAAACAATTGACAAACTTATAGCTCCGACCTATCAATGTGAGTTGATTCAACAGCGAGAGAAAACAAAGACTATTTCTCCATGCAAGTTGTGAATGATGATATTTTAGCATCGAATACCCTAACAACAGCGACCAAAGACAACTAGTGTGGAACACTAATTACATATCAGTTTCAGTTCAAGATTTTTAAGATAAGTAATCAGCAGAGCTAGTATTGATCGGAAGGAGAAAATCGATAATTGTCACACATCGACAGATGACACGTTTCTACTCAGCATTTTATGGAACGATTTCTACTAAAAAAAGCATTCATTTAGATGTTACTCCTCAGAAAGCATTTTCAAATCATATTTAGTTATGCTGATCACAAAACATTGCGGCCCAGTAATATTTATTGTGGCGCTAGAACACCATTGGAGTGTCTCTATTTTACCTATTCGTGTTTGCTGGTGTCCATTGTGGCAAAGCGAAGCACACAACAGGACAGGAAAGAAAGAAAGGGAGAAAAAAAAATAATATATTTATTTTATTTCATTTTTATTTTATTTAAATATGTATATATCTATCTAGAATATATTCAATTCTCGTCTAAAATTAACACAGGGACCTAAACAGAAAAACAGAAATAAAGCAAAAATTCGTAATAAAAGATAAAACATTTAATTGGGCTAAGGAAACAAAACGCAGTAGAGAAAGAAGAAAAATAAAAATCTTGTATATTAACGAAATACAAGATGAAAATTTAAACAAAAGCACAAAACACACATTGCCGTTTTCATTCTTTTTTTTTTTGTTTTAATTTTTCACACATTTCAACGTCATACAAACTTATTTTCATTTTCTACTGATAAATCAAAACGTGTATTTAGCGACATTTATTTCCTGATTCTTCGTCTGTAAATAAACTTTACCATTTTTTGCTTTCGATCAAATAAAATTGTTGTTATTTTCATATTTTAGAAACATTTTTTTAAGGAGTATAACATTTCTTTTTTATAGGCATCTAATCTTTTCATTCAATTGTTTTCTAAGTTGTCTCAATGACTACAGTTATTCCACGAAGTCAACTAGAATTAGGAAATAGAATCTTTGTGATCACTATCTTCTCTAGCAATTAATTTTCGTTTTAGATACTTTTTGTGTATTTAGTTATCGATTACTTTATCCACAAGCGACTTCATGTTTTAGTCATGGACAACCCAAGTTTTTTAGCTAATGCTCTTTTCAATGTCTCATTTAATGCTTTATTGTTATGATCTCTGTACCGAAACAAATTCTTAAAATGGATGAAGCCATAAATTTATCATCAACAAAAACAGAATTTAGTGATCTAGTTGATGATTTAGATATCGATGGAGAAGTAGAAGAAGAAGAAGAAGAGGATAATGGTCATCAATTTGATCATGAGTATGAAGATGAACAGATCGAATCTGAAAATGAACTCGATGATGAATCAAAGAACTTTGGAGTGGTTCAGAATTTAGAGCGAATAGATACTGAACAACAAGTAAGTTAATTTATTTATTTTCTTCGAATAGTTTACTGCTTTTTACAAAGAGACAACAGAATTTAGGACTAATATTCTTTAATTTAAAAAATAATCACACAGTCAAGTTGCCTGACGCATATAGAAAAGTCACGAACGACATAAAACAATAGTTTGAGGAAAAATTTTAGTTTTTACTTTCTCACAACTCGATCTTTTTGCTATATTAAAGAAAGAAGATTATTATACCGTAACTAATGTCTGATTTCTTGTTTTAGGAATTGGGAAGTGAAAATGGAGATGGAGATTTAGAAATAGAAGAAGAAGAAGAAGAGGAAATTGTTTTGAAAATAGCTGATGATGATCGAGACGAATATGAGAGCAGTAATACAACAAACAAAATTCTTAAAGATCAATCCAGTATGCAAGATTTACTACCAGGAATTGTTACTCCAAAAACGTTTATACCAAAAGTTGAAGATTTGAAATTGCATCATGCCCGTCGTAAAGGCGTACCAAAACGTTTAGATACATCACATCGTGATAATCACGTTAAAATTGCTAAACAAAGAATTGTTATTAATAACAATAATAACAACCATTCAAACACGAATCATGGTAATGGAATTTCAACCTGCGATTATCGACTTAATAAAAATGAAGAAGACGAAGACCGAGAAAACGAACACATTAAGAAACAACAACAAAATGGACATCATCAAAAATATTTTATACATATAACAAATTATGATGATGAAAATGGAAATTTAGAATATGAAAATGGTGGTAGTCTAGATGATATCGACGATATTGTTAAAAATGTTTTACAATCAATTATTGAAACTGTACACAAAAAATCTAAACAGCAACAGATTAAAAAACTACCTGTACAACAACAGCCACATCAGAAAATCAAAGAATCAAAAACTGTACAAAAAGAAGAAGAATCACAATTGACAATTGATCGTCGAAAAATGCTGTTAATGTTAGCTGCAGCTGCTACCACACCGTCGACGAAAGAAAAGCCAATAAACAAGCAAAATGTGGTAAAAAACTATGGGCAGTCATCATTTGTTAAACAAGAAAAGTTGAATCAAAATCAACAGCAATCATCGATCAATAATCATACCAGGTATGTGATGTATGCAATCGAGTTTCGAAAATCGTCTAGTTTATTGATATTGTGTAACTGAGAGTAAAATTTCTCTAGTAATTCCTTCTGTTGGAACTTATATTTTATTATTTCCTTGATCCTCCTTAGTGATTGGATTACATTACAATAAATATTTTCCTATTAGTAATCTTTTCTTCTGCCATAATGTTTAGTAAGTCATCAAATCAAAAAACCAATTCAAACACTCCATTACTGTCAACATTTAAACAATTGATGAATTTCAATCAGCAGTCACAAGATCAACAAAAATTAAAATTACAACATCAGATATTGAAACATCAAACTGAAGAGAGGCAAAAATATAAACAGACTCAACCACAAAATTTTCCTCAGCCACAAGCTAAAAGACAAAAGACATCGTCTACAAATTCTGCCGCAACTACATTTAATGCTCAACAAAATACCCAAATATTATGGGAGATGGCACACCAATTAATGTTAGCGTCAAACCCTACACCACTTGCAGATGAGACACCGTTCAGTTCCATCCTTAAATCTCAATTACTTGGGCAGCAACAGCCGCCAGTAAATAAAGTTGGTAGACCGCCAAAACAACAGCAACAAACTGGAACAAATTTAGGTAACTGTAGAATAAAACTTTAAAAATAGAGTATAATACGCACTAAAAAGATAGTGAAAAAATAAATTTTTACTATCTAACCCGTGGTTCATTTAATTAAAAGAAGTCTAAATTTTCTTATTTCTGCTATATTTTAGCTTCAATGCGATCAAGTACTAATGTACCGAATGGAAAACATCCATCATCATCATCATCATCAAAACAACAACAACAACAACAACAACAACAACAACAATCCCAGACTGTTAAGAAACAAACCTCGCCACCCGACTGTTCTGCTTTATTTAAATCAACCACAAATTCTTCGCCACCTCCATCTTCCTCCTCTTCAAGTTTCGATCCATTACGAGGATTTGCTCCTCGACGACGTGGTCGACCACCGAAATATGTAACAGAACGTTCCCATTTATCAGATGTCTTGAAATCTGCGTCAGCAACCAATGATCCCACAGCACTATCTGCTGCATTTTTTGCTGCTATGTCTGGTACGTCATCCTCTGCAACAGGTATGTGTACTCAAAAAGAGAAACAAAAGAAGACGCATAAGTATGGTCTTATACGCGGTTTTTTGAAATCTTTACTATACACCATTTAACACTCGAATTTTCTATTTAGATCATGAAAATCAACAACAGCATCAATCCTACGAACAATTACTAAATGCTATGTCGTCAGATCGTTCAACATCATCAACATTAGATTTATTATCAACGTTTGCTGCTAAATCATCGAATGGTTCTCGTCAATCGTCCTCATCTTCATCTTTAAGTGCATTTCAATCTTTATTAAATTCGGAATCGTTAAAAACATCTACATCTCATTCAACGAGAAATGGTGTACCAGCATCATTATTAAAACATTCAGGACATTCTCGATCACATCATCAAAACGCTACACAAGCACAGACGCAATCAACAACCCATTGGACACCACCCAAAACTACAGTAACAAGTCCAATATCCTTATCTGGAAATGATATTCAACAACCAAAGAAGAGAGGGCCAGGACGTCCTCCAAAAAATCATACACTACTTATGACTGCACCTCCCACAACTCATGCTCAACAACAATCAAAGTCAAAAAATCCACCAACAATGGTACCATCTCCATTCAATCAACATTTACATGCAGCATTAGCTCTAGCTAATTCAAAATTAAATTCAGATGTTAGAAAATAGGGACTTGGTTTTACGTTTTAGTGAGTGTAAAATTGTCTTTACGAAATATTTTGTCTTATTTATAATTTTTTCGTTTTAGTACGGATATTTCTATCAACAAAAAATGATCCAATAAATCAATCAATCAATCTTTATTGCTCTTTTCGATTCTCCTCAAATCAAAACGCAGATAATATGGTTTTTTGTTTTGTTGTACATACTTTCATTTGTTTTCATTCCATTTTCCGGTCACCTAGCAAGAGATACATACATTTTTCGTGACTTTGTCTTGTTTTGTTTTATTAGACTAGTTCGTTTTTCTGTGAAAATACGCATTCCTTTTGTTTTTGATATGTGTGTGTGCTATAAATTATTTTAGATCAAAAAACTGCATTTGTTATTTCTCTAAAGCATTTGTCTGATGTTCTTCTTCCAGAAAATGGTAGCTACCACATTTTTCTTGCGTCCAGTGTACAGTTAGATCTTAGTTTTGATCTCTTTTTTCTTCTTTTTTTGTTTGTTTATTTTAACCAGTGAATGATAGAAGATAGAAAAATAACAACGATATTCGTCTTCATCTTTGGTTATTCAATAGTACTTAAAATTGTTATTCAAAAAAAAAAGTACATCCCGTGTGTTGTTTATGTTTTTTATGTGTACATATATTTTTGATATGAAAAAAATATGCACATCTCTTTACCTTTTTTTCTCATTGCTAGAAAGTCATGTTTAGAAAGTTCTATTCTTAATTTCGTTCTTCTATTTCAAAAAACAACAACAGATCAAATTATGCTACTGTTAATATTTTAAGGTGACACCTTTAGTAGGCTGAACGAAAATCATATGCAAAAATGTCTGATGAACATTTTCTCTGATTTGTGTTGGTGCTAACCTAATCTATGTTTTCATTTTCCTCAAATACTGATATTTTTTTTGGTTTTTGATTAGAAATTGTTCTCGAGTCATCTCATTTTGTTAGATTTTCTGCTTGAAGAAATATAAAGATACTTGATTCTTCTGTTAGTTGACACAAGCTTCCACAGACATCGCTTCAAACAGCTATCTTGTCTCTAACTTGCAATAAATGATTTTCCTTTTATAACTGAAATATTTCATCTAAGAATAATAATGACCGACTATGATTTATACTAATTGAGATTTTTAAGTAAGAAACTGAAGTAATAGAAACAATCATTTACGATCAAATTTTTTTTGTTAATTACATTAATCTCTCAAAGAATTACTTTCTATAGATTATATTTTTCTAATCTTTCTTAGTTTAGTGGTTGATACGTTCTGCTAAGCAATTTTTGATTGATAAAAATGAAATCATATAAGATAAAGTTAGTCTGAAAGAAGAAAAAGCTATCCTTTTGAAAAGAAATGTCAAGTACTAGAGCTTTTTAACGACTGGCTAAATTGTTAATAAGTTCAGGAAGACGAATCCTTACATATACCCACACGCTATAGTGTTAGCAAAAGCACTGAACCATTTTTGTACGCTCAATAGTAATGTACTCAGAAGAAAAAAATAATTGTGGTCGTTTTTAACATAGATATGTATGCATTTAAAATACATTCGTGTCTTTCTCACTTCATGTTTGATTATTCTTTTTTCTAAAGATGTTGTGTAGTACAAAAAAAAGAAAGTCTAAATGTTTCTTTATAATGTACGTCTTTTTTTTTATCTGATTTTAAACTATCAATAGTGCTGATATGATACTAGAGAATTTTTTTCATTTGTTTGTTTTTAAGAATGTAATTTTTTTTGTTGTGCTCTCTGTTTGTTCACCTCTTGAATGAAGTTAAATACACACATGTAGATAGAAAAACAAAAAGGATAAAAAAATGTTTTTTTTTGTTTTTTTTGTTGATATGAACTGTTTTATTTGTAAAAAAAGAAACAAAAAACAAGGAGAAATTTATTACTATTATATTTGTGTATATATAACCAGTTATTATGGATGATACCGTTATGTAAATAAACAAAATACGAAACTATGGTAAACAATATCGTCGAATGGTTTACTAAAGGAAATATTCAATGGAATATTATCTGCAATATCAGATTTTTTACAATTTTTTTCTTCAAAAGTCAAGATTTTCTCTTAGGTTTTAGTTAAACCTCATGCATTCTTTTAAATTATCAAATGAATATTATTTCAGGTTATCAATAATCGTTCACACTAAATGTAATGAGAACACTATGAAATAGTTCAATTAAATATTGCTGGAAAAATATGATCGATATTATGTCTGTTAGAAGATAAATGTAGTTCTGAGTAAACAACATAAGCTCATATTACACAATATCAAAACAATGTGAAAGTCTAAAACCAGAATATTTACAAAGAAAATTTGGCAAAAATTAATGGGTGTACAAAAAACATGTGCAAGAAAATAGAGGCTAGTACAGAATTAGACAACTCAACTTAAAAATGGATAACTCTAACTTAATCCTTAAACTGAATTAAGTTACACTAGAAAATTTGGCGGTTTAGTTGAATTAAGGTGAAAATTCAATTCAAAGAACAGAATGAAACATAAAAGGGTCTCGTGCTCCATTATGTATTAAAATTTCAGGCGGACGATCATATCATAGTAGAACATACCTCACAATTCTTGCATCAGATTTTGTTTTTATTTAAACACAAGTGTTTAATCATTCGAAGTACTTACAAAAAAAGTTTGTTTTTTGTTATAACCATGTTGGAAGACTCTGCTTCGTCGTCTGCATGTTCCTCTTTCATCGCAGCAAGAATTAAAGCAAAAAGGTCTTTAAAAAGTAATGAATAGCTTTGTTACAAAAAGATTGTTAAAATAACAAAACCAGCATATCCAACAAATCATCCTTGTGAAACTGAATTAGTTAAATCCATTGTCAAAAATTTAATCATTGAAAGGACTACCACTTGTTGAAGGTCCAGCTTTTATTAAATTTATAAATGTAGTCGACCTTTTTCACAGTTACAAGCCATCCAATACTGAACCGAAAAATCATACCAAAATTATACGAGAAAATATATTCTAGTCTGAAATCATTCTGCACACCTTCAATATTCTTGTCGCATTGAATATTTGAACTGACCGAAAAATCCGTGCTTTCTTCACAATAACTTATCACAATAATTTATTTAGTTTTAGGTGAATTGAAACTGAAGCTGTCCATTGAAGACAGGTTTAGACTGGGAGAGATAGAAAGGAAATCTGGACGTCGGCGAGTTTAGGTGACCATGAAATCGACTTTAAAGCTCAACATAAAACGTCTGATAAAATAATTAAGGAACTAAAAATTGCAAAACGAACACATCTTTTATTCCCTAAAGGCTTTATTTTATTTGAATTCTATTCATAGTATGAACCTCCTATGTTACTCTGTACACAGAATAACAGGAGTGGTCAAAAATATGCGAAGGTACTGTCTTACATGTATATCTATATTCCCAATTCTGGGGTATGGTATTGCTAACAATGAATTTATATTTCATATGATGTGTTTTCTTACTATCTTTGGGAAACATAATGCATTGTTATCTTTGGAATCATATGAAACGACTGTCATTTCGTTTGATATTCACAATAAACTCGTTCGGTTAGTTAATGATAGCTGTTCGAATAACTTGTTAACCTTCACAGCATTAGGGATTTCTGGATATGAAAATTATTTTCAAGACAAAGAAAACGACATAATGAATGTGATAGAGACATGGATTTGGATAGTGCACGCGATGATGAATTAGATTCGATAGAAAATGAAGATTCAAATGCTAATGATTCATTAGGAACATGAAAAGTTATCAAACGTTTCTTCGATAACATTTAATCTGAAATTTAGTCGTTTCGATTACCATTTTTTGTACATATCTTACAAGTGTAAAGATGAGTTCAAAGAGCCACTAGCCGCTAGTGAAAGCATCGCAACAAGAGAAGAAAATGTAATAAAAAAGTTGCAAACGGTACAGACTTCTGCCGGCATTTCTGATAAAAATAGGCCGTATATATTAGTTGAAAACACGTCACAAAAACAGTCTGACTTTTTCCATACATTTATTGTTATATTACCGATTCACCATACCACCATGGATTTCAATAATGGCTCAACGTTTAAATATGAACTTCTTTTTGTGACTATGTTGTTTCCGGGTTTGATGAAAAACAATTATGTCAAACAAGCCGGATATGATTTTTATATTATATTACATTGTAAAATTTTATGATTCAGCTTCAACTGATTCAACGAGTTCAATTAAAACCATCGGTCGAAGAAAACATATAAATAAGACTGGGATATAGTATCAATGATTTCCTTACTCGCTCCTAAACCGATTTCCCTACTTTTTAAATATTAAAGAGTAGCAAAGTCAACTAGTCTAGATAGTGCTGAATGTCCACACAAGTATTTTTCTTTAATTTCCTTTTATTAATTATCTTTTTGTTCATTTACTTTATTATATGAAAAAAAATTCACTTTGCTTTTAGCGCTTGAGCAGATATGAAAAAGCGTTTTGATGTTAATTTAAATTGTGTCACAACCGAAGTGAACCTTCTAAAAAGATAAGGTTGTTCTTTATACAGCCCGCTGGAATATTGCCAATTTAATTGTTGAGCACACCGATTCACCATACGTTTTGAAGGATGTCTTGTGTTGTAATTCACTTTACAGGTCAATCTATTCTGATCGTTTCTTTAGTTTGTAGTTAGGCTATTCCTTCTGCATCACTTGTCTAATTATAATCTCTACACAATGGTTAGCAAAGACTAGTCGTACATTTTATAAAGGAAAGAATTACAAAATAAAACACACTGCAAAAGTATCTCAATACAAAAAGGCAGAGACACTATTCATGTTCACTGTGACACATCAGTGGCATTGATCATAATGATTCTATTGTTACACCATATATCTTTTATGGGTCGGTAAACGTGGTTATAATATACACATACGGCAGTAATTAAAAATAGTTTTTCTAGTTGTCATTTATTTGTTCAATATTTTCCATTGAAATTCACCCGGACGTCGTACAGAAAGACAAAAGTCAGAATTATTGAATGATACCATTCATCTCTGTATTAAACTGAACTAGAGCTTGAAACAGCATTAGACTTTGAACTCTTCAATTAACGCTGTATGTATTCTATTCTATTTTAACATTTATGTCAGAATTCATGTGTCAAACAATGTTCACCACGAGAAGATTTATGTCGTCAAGAAAAAATTCTCCTTTTACCATCGAATAGACAAACAGAAGACTGTTTTTTTCACCACTTTTTAGCATTCATCTGCTCTTACAACGTCGATTTTAGTCTAGTGATTATTTTTCTTTACTTTCTGAATTTAAAGAGCATATATGATTAAATCAAATGTTGAACTTAGATTTTCTCTTTTCTTAATAAACTTCAGAAAAAAATTAATTAAAACCGATCAAAATCTTATTCGACCAATGTAATCATAAGCAAAATCTGAAAAAAAATAGATGATTGTTTGTTTCGTAATATTCTCTCTATCAACGGACAAAATAGAGTTTGCGAGCATTGCAGAGTAATGTAGAATTTTAATTACACTTTAAGAGTTTGGTTTAATTCTTCCCATCCGAGCTTTTGATCTTAGATTAAAAAAGTTTTTTTATAAGTGAAAGATTTGGGTAAGGATGGGTGGGGGTAGGATGGGGTATTGTTGATGGTGAGTCGAAGGAAAATGAATCAACAATTTGTATTGAGTTTTCATCCCACTGGTATACTTTTCATTCCAAGGACAAAGATATGGTCATTTTCTTGCGCCTAGAGAATCTCATGTGATATTAAGCGTTTGTAGACAAGAAACCTCAACAGTCATATTTGTGTTAAATAACTTTAATGTTTCATGTCAATATAAAATCAAAGTTCAAAAAATAAGCATTACTAAACTGGACAGTATGCAGTGGAATCTAATGTACTATACGTTATGAAATATCAAACAGTTAAATCACAAAATTCTTAAAAATTACCGGAACGTTAAAAATGATTCATAAAACTACTTAATTTTTGATACTTTTCATTAAATGAATATGCTTTAAAACATGGTCAGAATCATTTGGTATATGCATATATGGATGAGTTTCACATGCTATACATATCTCATCAATCTCAATCGTGATTATTGGTTGTTCCTTTAATCGGTTATTTATTGTCTGAAATTTTTCTATAAACGTCTGTGAATTTTTAATCGTATTTTGTTTGAATCTTAAAAATGTTGTATGAATAATATCTGGAATATGAACGCGAGATGATAATTGCTCATTATCATTATCAATGATACATGTCTGCTTAATGTAATCACGAAGTTGTTGAATTTGATTGTCGCTTGCATCTGAATATTGAATGTAACCAGCTGCAGGTGATAACTGAATACTATTAATTTCAATATAAAATGATTTTATCTGACTCATCCGAGCTTTCATCAATTTAGATTTGTCTGACCAGTGATCTATCATACTTTTTCGTTCTTCTTCGTTCTTCAACCCAGTCATCGTTTTAAAGTTAATTAATGTTGCGATTGTTATGTGTAACGCATAGTTCGGATACAAATAGATTGATTGTTTTTCATCGTCATCCAAAACAGAATTAAATTCATGAAATAACCGATTATAAAATAAATCTAATGTACGAGGTTGTGGAGCATGAAATAATGCACATATGATAAGACCAAAGGTTTCTTCTTTTTCATTCACCGCTAGTTTTTCTATATACGGGTCGGTTTGAAAGTTCATGCTAGGAATAACAAACACAGAATATGACAGAGACGTAACTTGAACGCAGAAGAAGGAAAAATATAAAAAACTGTTGAAAAGGGTTAAATGTTTTACTAGGATAATTACATATAGAAAACAATTTTTTCAACGACTCTGAAAGCTTTTTTGTAATAAGAATTTTTCGTATACGTCATTCTATGAATGAGTCAACTTTAGACGCCTCACCTGAATGAATACTTGTTGCCTATCCTTTCTGCAAATAGTATGTCTATCTTTATCCTGCACTTATATTACTCTTCTCTTATCGAGTAGTTCACCCGTAAGTCAAGTAACGAACTGCGCCATTTTAAAGACCGATCGAACGAAGGCCTGGAATGTGTTTCATAAAACTTCCTAAGTGCTCGACATAACTAAGTATAAAATTAACACGTAAGTGTACAAAAGGGAGACTTAAGTATGACTTAAGTCTAGACTTAGTTATGTCGAGCACTTAAGAATTTTTATGAAACACCCCCCTGAGCTATATATTTCATTTGGTATGGAATTTTATCGACCCGCAACTCTCTATCAGACTGTTGAAAAATGAGATGTTCTCTGCACTGAGTTGTATTTGTCGATAGCTACACATTACGCATAGGAGTGAAGCTTTTTCCATGTCACATCAGTGATTTTCAATAAAATCTATAACTGAATCGAAGATGGTCCTCCGTTGTGTTAGCATAGCGTTTTTTATACGTAAATATGGAACAGAATCCGGCTAGCTGTTTTTTTTCGCGAAGCTGAAAAGTTGGACGTATACTTGTGCACTAGCGGATGGATACTGAACGAAAGGAAAAAAAGTTGAAAGATGTCGCGCACCTATGTTACTGCTTATACATTTCAAAAAAAAAGTTTTCAAGAATATATGCCTAATGCTGTTGATGAATAAGTTCATGCTTGAGGACACTCTGACCATCGTTTTGCTGAATGGTTTTTAAGATTTGACATGAATATGCGCCACAAATCATGAATGTTATTTTCTCCTACTCGTTCCTAGATTACTTTCATCATGGTTTCTTTCTTTTATTTTATTATTTGACGACCCTGGATCTTCTGTAGTCTGCTCGTCAAACGATACGCGGTATGGAATTGATGACACTTGCAGTTGTTACATCTCACTGACTTATCTGAAATGTCCTGTTTTGAACGAAATCTTAGCTATCGTTTTGGAGTTATCAGAAAATCATCAAAAAACGGTTGTTTTTAACTTTTTTTCGTCGATTTCTATTGTCGTCTGTAAACAACTGATACAATGCTCTCTAACACATATTTTTCGAGAAAGATAAGCTAAATCGTTAAGGCTGCTGATGCAGTTGAAGATCTCATATTACGTTGTTCGCGGCAGATGATGATGTTTCAGTTTCTATTCTAGACGGCGCTAGCTAGTCGAAAAAACGGAGTTTCTAAGGAAAATCTTAAATGTTTGAAAAACGAAAATTACAAAC